CGAATTTTAATATCATAAAAGTTTTTTATGATATTGAGGATAAATCTGATAATATTTTATTGTGGAAAATCGGCAAAAATATTTACAACACCTAATAAATTGATGAATCACGTTCCTAATTTGATATTATTTCGGTATCGCAAATCCCTTTGGCTATTCAAATAAGTGAATTGTGGTGATTGATCTTCATCACTTGCACATTTACAATTCTGACTTCACTTTATCAGGTCAAGAGAGTTCCACGCAAATAGAAACGGTTTCTCCTCCAAAACAAATGGTCTTCCATATTCCACTGTGCCACAAATCATCATTATTGCTGCAATCATTGTGTAGAAATAAATATGCAAATTTATAACCTCCCTACGGAAGGAAGCTAGCGAACGAAACTTGAAGAATTATAAAATAAAAGTTCTCGAGACGATTAATGCCAATTAGTCAGTTGTGTGTGAAATGAACATACGTTTTTCTACTTTTGTTGTCGCTATTAATCGGCCATCTTCCCATAACTCATCTGTTTTATAATCTGTGACAACCTCCGCAGCTGAAATTAATGCCACGATAATATTGAAAAAGGAGAGACCTTTGAGATTTGGAATGGTTATTATTATCGCCTAAACTTATCAACCCATAACAATAAGAAATTGTGTTTTCCACTTTTTCAGATTTCTTTCTGCCAAAGCAGTAAAGTAATAAAGTAACTGTTGTTGTCTCTACAATAAAAATAAAATCAATGATATTCGAACCAATGCAGTTACCATTGAAATTACTTCTCCCATCCAACGCTATTTTACGAGAAATCTCAAAAAAAAATACCTGGAATGATGCAGCATACAATGTATATTTCTTTGAAGAGCAAATTAGAATGATAAAAAAGGTGAGATGCATACCTACTCCTGCTTGCCTATCTCCTTCTCCTCTTGGCACAGCTGCTTGATTTTGGTCGGCAGCTTGGCAATAAATGAAAAAAGCAATGTATACTATGAAGTTTATCATATTTAATATCTATTATATTATAATTTCGATGCCTTCTGAAGGCAAGTTTCAAAAACTTCATTGAGAAAAGCAATCATTTTAAAAAGAATCTTAGTAAAACGTTTAATTTTTTTTTAATTTTTTTTTAAAATTTTTTTTATTTTTTTTTTAATCCCATCAAATACTGTTTTACGAAAAATCCCAAATGAAAAAGCTAGAATGATGGAGAATGCAATATGTACATAGCAGATTTGCATTTTCTTTGGGGAGCAAATAAGGATGATAAAAAAGTGAAATATATACCTCCTGCTTCTCCATTTCGTCTTTGTCCTGCTTGAGGTGCGTTGGGAGCTTGACAACAGATGAAAAAAGCAATGTATACTATCAACTTTGCCATATTTAAAATCACTTGTATAATAATTCCGATCTTTTCTAAAGTAAAGCCTTTTCTTCATTATTATGCTCTAATATCAATTATGGCATTAATTTCAAATCGATCTAATAAATTTTTGAACTGTGAATGAAGCGATTATGTTACCGCTTGCTAACACTTAATCTTATTAACCGATCAGGCGGGTTGCCATCTGATAAGTTAATAGCCTCAAAAATTGGTTTCAGCCAAAACTTGGCACACGTATCTTCTGCAACCTATTTTTGTTTGCAAAATATATCAAATCCATTTCATGACATTCACA